AACCCAAAATCCTAAACCCTAAACCGGGACCCCTGGCCTGGACATCAGGCCGGAAGGGATAGGTGAAGCGCACATCTTGAAACCTGGGCAGGGGGCAGCAAATGACAGGCAGACGGTTTTGGGTGTAGGGTTTAGGGTNNGGGTTTAGGGTTTAGGGTTGTTGTCGCCCCACACAATTGCTGAAGCCGTGCCGAAGTGCCAGGCCCACTCATGGTGCTTTTGCTTTTGTTGCTTTACGGTTCTAGGCTTTGGCTGTAGTGCTTTAAGACTGAAGCATCTATGCAGTGTTCAGCCACAATCTCGAACCCCTTCTTACTACTTTGCCCAGGTGCTCAATACGGAACCTCTAGCCTTAAACAACGAAAACTCTACACCAAAAAACCCAGACCGCAGGGACCTGAAACATAGCAGCCTAAACGCCAAAACCCAAAACAACCCAAAGCCGTGCTGCAAACACCGCCTACGATGCACGGAGCTTTGGGGGTGTGTATATTATATATATATATATACATATATATACAAGTGATACTAGAACATATATAGGCACAATACGGGAAAACTATTCCTAATTATTCCAACGCCCAAATGATAAGGCAGTCGAGGCCACTCAATACGTCCAACGGTAGCTCCTGCGTCAAGTGCTTGCCTGAGGAGAGTGAGCTTGGGTCATTAAAGCTTTAGGGTTTAGAGCTGAGGAGTTTAGGGCTTGGGGTGTCGAGGGTTTCGGGTGTTGAATTTAGAGCTTTTGAGGGTCTCTGATCGGGGGCTTTGAAGTTCGGCACGGGGCTCTAGGGCATAATTGCAACTTCGGCTCGAGGGTTTAGAGCTTGGCAGCTTGGCTTGCATCACTCGTAGGGGTTGAGTACCGCAGCCCAAAAAAGTCAACTTTTCAAATTGTGGTAGGATTATATAGGCCCCAAAAGGTTGAAGGTTACCCACTCAGCTACTAAGCACTTGAATATGACCGACGCAATTGCGAAGAGTTGCGGGCAACGAGTGCATCGGGCGACGGGTTAGAACTAAATTGGCCCAGTTACCCAGCGGGCTCTAAGCCATCGATGAGGGACTGTCGGTCGATGATCTCGAACATGTCCTTGGGTGTCGGGCATATGGACAAGCATGGGGTATGTTTACACAAGCTATCCGAATGCAACCGCAAATCTAAACCCTCCAGTGCCTGGAACCCTAATCTGTGGGACCCCATGAACTTCCAGCTGGGGACGTATCTGTTCTTATGCATGTATGCGTGCATGTAGATGTATGTTGAATATGGAAATATGTACAGGCACATATACATATCTAGACAGCTGGTGCTATCCTGGTGTTACACATACACATGATAAGGTGAGCATGATCTCTGTGGAGATGTATATACCTATCTGTCGCACTTAATCTTGCACATGTACAAGTACAGCTGCTCAGTTTCACTAATACACTGATCAAGAATGAAATAAGTACGCAAGCAGGAGTAAGCAAGTAAGTAAGTGAGTGAGTAAATAAGCACGCAAGTAACTCAATAGTGTATTGGTTAGATATCTGACTATGTTCTTAATTTTGGCCAGAAAATGCAGCATAACGCCAGAGACGAAAACAGACCAGCAGAGCGTACCTGTGTGAGTTGATTCGTTATTCGCTTAAATTGGTTAGCCAGGTACGTGTTCGATCGTTCGTTAGTTACCAACTTAACTAATGTTTAAACACTTGCTTCCTTGATTCATGTAATAACGAAGTATATTAAATCGTGAGTTCAGTAATTTCCTAGTAGTAGTTGGTTATACCGTACAAACGACTTTATGTAAGTGCATATTATATATGTATTTATTTATTTGTTGGTTTAGTTTATAGAGAGAGATGTATGTGCGTGTGTATGGGTTTGCGCACGTGCGTACGTACGTCCATGCATGTATGCATCAATAGATCTACGTATTCAAGATGCATCTATGCGAATTGTTATGTATCTACCGATCTGCACATTTGTCTCTCTCTATGTATGTATGCATTTATGTATGTATGTATTTTTCTCCGGCATCTGTCTTCCATTGCTGCCACCCTAGTAGGGATCGTTCTTTCTGTAGTGTCATTGAGCAAATGCAGGAGTGCAGACACAAGGACATGCTTGTGTGCAGACTGCCTGCACCCTGGCTGGACCGGGCACAACCATCAGAGCAACCCCTAAACCCTAAACCCAGACTGTTTGAATTAGGTTCAAGAGCCGAGGTCTTGCCAGGGGAGGTCTCCTTTCGGAGGCATGCACGACAGGTGCGCTATTGATTTTTGGCACCTGCGAAGCCCTCGCCCACTGAGGTCCAAATCTGGAAAGCTAAGCTTCATATTGATGCATGTAACCGCCTGTATGGCCTCTATGCCATCCCTGAGCATGGATGGAACCACAGGGAGCGGGGCGACATAAAGAAGCGGCTCTTGTAGCTCATGAACCCTCTTTTGCGTAGACCTGCATAGTCTTCTCGTATTCCTTCATCAGTTCCGCCCGTTGCTTCTCGTACTTCGTCTTCGTAACCTTCGTCACTTTGGACCATTCTTTACCTGCTTGGGCCATCACTTCCTTTGGCGCCAGCTTCGGATTCTTCTTCTTGATCGCGGCATAGTTGTCCTTGACCCAAAGGATGTAGGCACTTCCCGGCTTCTTCGGCCGCAGTGGATCCTTGGGTAGCTTCACCTTGCCGTTTTTTGTGGTCCTTCGTTTTGGAGTTGGCATTACACCACCGGCCTCTACATAAGCCTGAACCAGTTCCCGGTACTCCGCAAAGTCCGCCTCTGCTGCAGTGACGTAGGGCTTCTTCTTCGCGGCCGTTAGCTTGCGCCAGCGGTTCGCAACTTCAGATACGATCTCAGTTGCCTTCGCGTCCTTCAATTGCTTCGCGACCTCGGGTCGGATTTCCGCGGCGTAGCGCATGTAGGACGTTAGGGGCCGCTTGGGTGGCGTGTCCAAGTTGACGTCGACCTTCTTCTTCCTGGCCGCTTCTGCTGCTGTCGCCGAAACGGATCGCGAAGGACTCGTGAGCCCCGGCGTGAAGCGCAAGCCTGATCTGGTCGTCAGGGAGAAGAGCACCGCCACGAGGAGGCTGGTCAGCCACGGGCGCGGCGCCATTGTGGGGCAATGCTGTGGCGCCAGGGACGCAGGAGCAGCCGCAAAAGGAAGGTCGCAGCTTGAGCCGTAGCCATTTTGTGTATGTATGTATGTATGTATGTATGTATGTATGTATGTATGTATGTAATTATGCACATAGCTGTGCATGAAACAGCTGGGCATGCGAACACATGCACATGCATCTGTGTGTAGGTATGTATGTGTATCTATATATATATATATGTGCATATATTGCTATTTTGATGTGTATTGATTTGTGGATGTGTATGCATATTTTTGCATAGGTGTGTAATTGCCTGTGTATATATATATACACATATACATACATATATGTCTGCATGTGGACGCCCGCTTACACATACATCTGGGGTCCCGACTTGGAATACATGTTAGTTCCACAGCAATCCATCAGTGTATGCCGGGTGACATGCGCGGCCACTTTAGCCTGACTGCTGTGCGGGGCTCATAAAGTGAGAAGGGTCTGCTTGAGGCTTCCTGGAGACCGTTCCACCGAGGTTTGGGTAGGTTGTAATACAGCAGTCTAGGGACTAGATAGAAAGCGATACTTTCATAGCCATCACGTCTGGCTCCCTATTGGGGCTACGAAAAAAAGGATCATTGCTAGTCCTTATTGGGGTTTATTATAACGAAAATGCAAACTTGTAGCCAACAAGGACCCCAATGTATTAAAGGTTAGAGGAAGGTGTCAGTGGGTCTACCGTCCAGGGTTGAGGATCCAGCTTTAGGGTTTAGGGTTTAGGCCTTTAGGGTTTCAGGGCTTAGAGTTTAGGGACCCTAAAACCTACATCCAAGAGAGTTCGACATCTTCCTCGTCCCCACAAGCGGGCATCCTGTGAACGGGCCTGGGCTTTGCTGGGCTTTGATCGGACGAGCCCAGCTACCCAAAACCTCAAACCCTGAACTGGTCTTGAACCCTAAACTCTTAGATGTCATACTAAACCATACCTGTAGCCGAAAAGACCTATTTTTTTAGGGCTCCATATTATGGTTTCTATTTCATAGTTCCTTAAAAGGGTAGGTCTTTCAGGCTACAGGTAAGCCCTCGGCTTCAGGGTGGTAGAGCTACGTGGTCCCTTTCACGAGGTCTCTGCTCTGAAAACTTATTGAGCCAAATGTGCCATGAGCCAGCACTCGCCACTTCGGTGATTAGGGCGTGGGATTCCGGAACCCTAAACCCTAAACCCCTAAACCCTAAACCCTAAGCCCTAAACCCTAAACCCTAAGCCCTTCCTGCATGAAATGTCCAACCGCTCCTCCGAGCAAACTGGCCTACAACACGGCATCACTAGCATCATGCCGCCCCAAACGCTCAACTACCAACCCTTTTTGAACGAGGTCTCTCTGAACTACCAACCCTAAACCCTAAACCGGAAAGTACCCTAAACGAAGCACCAAACTATATACGAACAATGGACAAAGAAAGGACAAGAGGCTTTTGGTCAAGACAAAACAAGTTTAGGGGCCTTCGCTAGGTCTCCAGTCATCGCCGAGGCCATGCCGGCCCCCATAGAAGCGTAGAGGATGCCTCAAGCTTCTTTTGGGATGACATTGAGGATTTGGGTGTTTTGTGTTGCGGGGTGAGGGTTGGGGGTTTAGGGTCTTAGGATTTAGTGTTTGGTGTTTAGGGTCTTAGGGTTTGGGGTCTCGGATTGGTGCCTGATGCCACAAGAACGTGGTTTAGGGTGGCGTTAAGTGCTGACGTTAAGGGCTGCTGGGGTCTATATAGGACGGGTTCTTTACGCACAGAGCTTTGAGGTTTTTTACGGTTTGTTGATCTTGCAAGGGTTTAGCTTGGGTTTTCAGGCTTTGCTGCTGCGTCGAACCATCTTGGATCTAGAGGTTTACGGGTCTGTTAAATTCCTTACGGGTTACAGTTATGTTCTAGGGCCTTAGGCTTTCAATGCATAGAGGAACTTGTAGAAATACTTAGAACTTAAGGCTTTAGGGTTTAGGGTTTCGGGCTTTGGGTCGAAGCCCTTTTGTCCGCAGGCTTACAGAGTTCACGTCTGGAAGCATCATGCCGTTCTCTGAACAACTGGGGGTTTGCTTGCGGATCGCTACGGCTTCAGATCGTCTTGTGCTCAGGATCGTCACGGTTTTCGGGTTGCGGGTTAAGGGATGTTTGAGGCTGAGGGGTGGGAGTTGCGGGCTCGGGGCTGCAAAACCTTCCCTAAACCCTAAACCCTAAACCCTAACAAGCCCTTACAATGCGGTGTAGAACACCTTGGTCACCAAGGTGTACTTTGCGTCAGGATCCCCTGAGCCTACAGTGAATGCCTAAAGAAGCGGTTTAGGGTTTAGGGTTTAGGGGGAAGCTTGGGAAGATGAGTTTTCTCCACTTGGAGGGTCCGGGGACTTAGTAAGTAGTTATCTTATAGAGTTATAAGTATCATAACCCCAATTAGGATCCCTTTTATAGGGTGCCTATAAGTCTACTTATTACCCACTTACTAACTAAGTCCCGCGACTCTCCAAGCAAGGCGTCCAGGGTGGTCATACCAGTTCTGCTTGTGAATACAGCTTTAGCATTGAGCTTTTGCCTTTGGATCACATCTTCTAGGGTGTAGGAATTGGGGGTTTAGGGTTTAGGGTTTTAGGGATAAGGGTTTAGGGTTTTAGGGTTTAGGGTTTAGAGCTTTAGGGTTTAGGGTTTTAGGGCTTGGGCTTTAGGGCTTAGGGTTTAGGGCTTTAGGGTTTTAGGGTTTAGGCCTTCCGGGCTTAAAGTGATTTCCGAAGCGCCCATGAAAGCTTGCTGTCCGCTTTCGAAGGTGGCGCGGCCCTCCTGGCAGTGAGAACGGACATCCAGCACTCCTGAGAATTCTGGACTATCGGTTTAGTGTTCATTAGCGGGAGGGGGTGTTTGAAAACCAAGTCTTCTCGAAATGGACAGTACCTGAAGCCTAGACCGCCCGAAATCCCCAAACCTCCTCTGAACCCGACTAGCCCTAGCAACCAAAACCTTTACTAAAAAACTTCAACGCGCTGATGTTCCGACTTGAAACTTTTGGTAGTTAGATTCGATCATACCTTCAAGACCGTATTCCGACTACTAGTGCCTCTGTACCAAACCCTAAACCCTAAACCCGTCCTTGATCAAGTAGCCCATGAAGTAGAAGCCGCCTGCCATGACGAAGAAGACCTGGATCGAGCTGAAGATCCCTGTCTTTTCAAGGAATTTGGTGCTTTCTATGAGGTCGAAGGTTTAGGGTTTAGGGTGTACGGCTTTTTCCCTTTAGGGTTTAGGGTCTAGGGTGTAGGGTTTGTGGTTTAGGGTCTATGTGGAAACGGCCTGCCGAACTTCTGCAGTTACTGACACCTTAAACATCACAAAACAAATCCCAACCGTAAGCCTTAGAACTTTGCTTTGGTCGTGGTTGTACTGTAGGGGCCTTAATAACTAGAACAGGGTTGTGGGGTAAATTATGCTATAATTATTATAAGAAGGAACCCTGAAAATAGTATTGGTAATTATCTAGGCCTAGTCCTTCAGCGACCGATCTCCATCGACAGTCGGGCCGAGGCAGCGGCAATGGAGCTCGAGAGCCCGAATGCCAAGCCACCCATCAGATTCCTCCTGCGGGCGTTTGTTTCTCTGCTCTTTCTCTTATCTTTTATTTTGCCTGCTCATTGTCAAATCTAATAGTTTAGCGATTTGCTCTGTTCATGCATTTCATAATTTGTTGGCGTGAAAGTTGGAGTTGCTGCTGCTGCTGTTGTTGTGGCTGTTGCCTTCAATGGTACTTCTGCCAAAAGTAACATTAGGAGGTACAGTCTAGACAATTCTTTGTGCGCTTGAAATTAAGCCTCCTTGTCAATGGATGCAAACGGCAACTACCTTCCTGCTGGTGTCATGCCCGGAAAATGTTTGCCACATGCCCTGCGTTACCTGTGCTCGAAAGTCCAGGCAGGAAGATCAGGAAATGCATCAAAACCGACAACTTGCTGGCTACGTCTCTGAATGTCGGGCTCCAACCAGACATACGTCCCTCTTGTGACAAGGATGCCAACAGGGACCTGAAACAAGGACCCTCGCCTGGTCATGCCTTTGGACATCACGGCAATCATGCCGCGGTACAGCTCCAGGATATCATGCTCCTGGAAAGCTATGAGTGCTGCAACGCGATGTCAGGTAACCAGTGAACCAAATGTAAAGGCGGTGTAACCCTGGAAAGAATGGCATCACTAAGTATCCTGGAAATAATAGAACCGCTAGAAATTTTGGAAAAGTAGAATCACTCAGAAGTCTTGAAAATAATAGAAACACTAATAAGTCATCGCCATATTAGCGATAAATGCAGCAAAAGCCATCCCGAACAAAAATTAGCAGGCCGAGGTAGTAGCAGGAATGGAACACGCACGTGAAGCGCTTGGCGAAAGACCTTAGAAATTGAGTGAGACAAAGTGGGACGCGAAGTTGTAATATTTTGCGAACCCTACAATCCTGAAATCACCGACGACGTAGCCACTCCTTCGGATACCCTTTGTGGAAAATAAAAAACCAAGTCTCATCGGCCGGCACTTTTTCAGAGACCTACAGCCTACAGGCCTACAGGCTTTAGAGCATGATCACAGATGGTGATGATGAGGGTAGCGGCTGGGCTCCTGGAAAGCTGTGCTTGCAGGGGCACCGGGACGTTTCCATCGAAACTAGAACCCTAAACCCAAAACCAAGCACCCTAAAACCCCAAAATCCGAAACCCTAACTATCACCAAAACCCTAAAATCCGAAACAGCCCCAGGCCTAGAACACGAATGTAGCGGCCTCAATGGCTAGAACGAGAATGTGGCTTATGGCTTCTTTCTGGTCTGAGGAAATATTGGTAATTACCTAGGCTTCTATACCCTTTTGCCCTAAACCCTAAACCCTAGCTTCTATATCTCAACCCCCAAACCTCATACCGCAAGCTCTAAACCCCATACCCTAAACCCTAACCCTAGACCCTAAACCCTAAACCCCATCCCCTAAACCCTAAACCCCAAACCCTAAACCCCATACCCAAAACCATAGCCCCATACCCAAAACCCTAAACCCCATACCCAGAACCCTTTAACCCTCTAGACCGCTGGCGATCTGAGGTCTGAGGGCTCGGCGTTGCCGGAGGCTTAGATGGTCCGGGCGTTGAGCAGCGAATCCTAGGAGATTAATGTAGGAACCTGACTAAGAAACCCTGGGACTTTATGGGGGTTCTTAATATGAACCCGAATATGTTGGGGCTATAGGGCCAGGGTTTCTTAACCAGGTTCCTACATTAGGCTTTTTCAGGGGACTTGGAGCTTGGAGCTTAGAGTTTTGGAGTTTAGGGTTCGGAGTGTAGGTCTTCGGTGTTTGGAGCTTGCAGTTTCGGAGTTTAGGGTTTGGAGTTTAGGTGTTTTGGGGGTTTGGAGCTTGGACTTTTGGAGTTTAGGGTTTAGGGCCGCGGGGCTTGGAGTTTAGAGTGTAGAGGTTTAAGGTTTAGGGTCGTCGAGGTTTGGAGTTTTGAACTCAGGGTTTAGGGCTACGTGGTTTCGAGTTTAGATTTTAGGGTTTCGGTGTCTCGAACAGGAGCATATGTGCCCTAGGAGTAGACATTTTGGGTCTTACTGAAGTATTTGCTGACTTTCAGTTCTGAGGAACCCCTTCAACAAGAATCCTCCTCATGCTGGAAGGATCACCAATTTCAAAACAGCCACAAGATGATGAAAGCTAAACTTGCATCCGCGACACGGAGGTCACCTGCGTGGCCTGTTTCAGGACCTGCTGTTGTTTGGGGGGGGGTTCGAAAAATAGGTTCTCGGACCAAACAGTTGCACAGGGATCCCAACTGAAGCTGCCAGTGTCCCTCTTCGAGCCACTCGTGTAGGGTTTAGGGTTCAAGGTTTAACGACAAAGTCCGGGTGTCTGAACCCGTCTGGTGGAATGGGTACAAGGAGGGCCCACCTGATTCTCGTTCTTGGCACCACCGATCATGACTGCCACCTTGATACCTCAGCGACTCACAGAAAACTGCAGGCAGCTAGCAGAAAACAGTGTGAGATTTTCGGAGCTCGAGATGCGAGGTCCCAAAATCGGACTCTTGCACAATATATATATATATAAGCATATTTATATATATATATATATATATAAATATATGTGTATATATATATACATATACACATACATATGAATATATATATATATATGTATATATATATATATATATATTCTCTCTCTCTCTCTCTCTCTCTTATATTCTGCGAAGATGCGCAGAGAAGGCTCCAACTCGCTGCTATGCAAAGTGTCAGCCTCCCTCCCACTCAACAAGCCAGCGCGAAAGAATGCGAAATAACGAAGGCACCTGAAGCGATCGCGAAGATGGGAATGGTGAGGAGCATGGCTCCTGCGAAATGGAGGTGGGTGCTCCTCTGTCTAGCATTGGACAACCCCTGCTGTAAACTGCCATAAAACAGCATTAAGAAACAGAAAAAAAACAAGGAAACCGAGCGGCTGTGATTGTATGACTCCCAGCTGCGCTAGAAATCGGGCACTATATTCAGGGTTTTGGGTTTTGGGGTTAGGGTTTCGGGTTTAGGGTGCACATTGCCATGCCTCTGACACGGGAGCTCACCCTTCCCAAGGACCTACTTGTAGACGTAAACCCTCAACCCTAAACCCCAAGCCCTAAACCCTCAACCCTAAACCTCAACTCCCAAATCCTGACTCTAAACCCTCAACCCCAAGCCCTAAACCCTGAACTCTAAACCCTAAACCCCAAGCCCTAATCCCTAAACCCTAACCCCAAGCCCTAAACCCTGAACTCTAAGCCCTAAACCCTGCATCGTAATTCCTAAGTAGCACCTCTGGACTCGAAGCCCCTACTCCACGCCCTACCTGGACCCCAAAGCACAGAAGCAAGGAGCACCTGCCATCTCCCAGCAGCCGACGAAAGCCATCGTCAAGCCGACCTACCCAAAACTGCTCCGAAGTTCAAAAGTCCGGCGTCGGGAGACCCTTAATAGGGTTTAGGGTTTAGGGTTTAGGGTTTAGGGTTTAGGGTTTAGGGAACCTTTTCTTTTGGCAGGGACTGCAATGCACTAAGCCCTGAATCCCTTCAGCCAAGCTCCTCACTCCAGCGCTTCTGGCAGAACCCTAAACCCCGAATCCTAAACCCGGGTTTAGGGTCAGTTTTGGGGGTTCCACGCAGCTTGGATGTAGCCACGTTCATTGCGGGGCCTGAGTCGTTACGGCATCGATTCACAGGTCCTTGAAATCTAGAACGTGCCCCGGCAAGCATAGCATTTTTGCTCTGAAGATTCTGTCACATCACAGCACATGTCCGTGAAACAAGACTGTCTCCTCCTTGTACAGGCGAGAGGCCACGATCGAACACAGGGCATCTGCATTGTCGCCAAACGCAACGACCAGCTGCGCAATGCGGTAGGCATAGACCTACCGCAACAAAAATGCACGGCCTGTTTAAGGCTGCGCCGAAACATGATGGCGTAGTGCTGGCACTCCCCAAGTCCCCACACATGTCAGCAGTATCACAAATCGAACACTCCAAGTGGCAGGCAAGCTTCCCTGAAAGGCCCTGAACCTTATGTAACCCCAAACAGTCACCGCAAAACCCCTAAACCCTAAACCCTAAACCCGCCTTTAGGGCAGCCACGAGCTTCCCGGGGGTGTTCTCCTCAAAGGCGGGTGTGCTGCAGGTTGGTGAACAATTAAGGTTTAGGGTTTAGGGTTCAGGGTTTAGGGTTTAGGGTTTAGGGGTACCAAAACTTCTGGGCCCCAACTCTCCCAGGCCCTTACCAACCAAGGCAGTGCAATCCAGAGCCTGGACCCCGCAAAAACTCATGATCACGAGCTGAACTCTTGAATGTCTGATCTTGAGAGCCATGGGCTCTACATCATCTACGATCTACGATACTGCAAACCCTAAACCCTAAACCCTAAACCCCAAAACCTTAACCGCTGAACCCACCGCTGCAGCTGTGCAGCTGGATCGTCATGGTAGCCAATGTCCTCGCAAGCAGACACGCTCGGGTCGTGGCCGTGGCTCAAAAATCACGGTTTAGGGTTTAGGGTT